TACATACATACATACATACATCTACAGACATACATCATACATACAACAAATAAATACATACATACATACATACATTACTACTACATACATAATCATACATACATACATACATACATACATAAATACATACATACAGACATACATACATACATACATACATACATACATACATACATACATCAATACATACTACATACATAAATACATACAAACATACATACATTACATACATACATACATCACATACATACATAAATTACATACATACAATGACATACATACATACATACATACATACCATACATACATACATACATAAATAAAGACATACATACATACATACATACATACATACATACATACATACATACATACATACATACATACCATACATAATTACATACATACATACATACATACATAACAACATACATACATACATACAACATACATACATAATACATACATACATACATACATACATACATACATACATACTAAAAGAATGACAGACATACATACATACATACATACATAAACATACATACATACATACATACATACATTTCATACATAGCATACGATACATACATACATAAATACATACATACATAAGATACATACATTACATACATACATACATACATAAATACATACATACATACATACATACATACATACATACATACATAAATACATACATACATACATACATACATACATACATACATACATACATACATACATACATACATACAGATATACACACAGACACACCCATGAAAACAAACGCAGACTCACACACACACAAACAGACATACGCGTATAGACCCAATCACACACAGAAATACATACACACATAGACACACACATGCGACACACACACAAACATGCATACTCACACACACGCACATTCATACATGTGGAGACACACACACACATGCACTAACACACACATATACAAACACACACAGATACACGCACACAGACACACTCTGAGACACACAAACACACACACAATTGCAGACAAACACACACACGCTGATGCTCATGCAGACACATACACACACAACCACAGACATACACATGCAGAAGCATATGCAGACATTCATACAAGTAGACACACACACAGACACACACCCACAGACACATGAATAAAAACATATCTGCAATATGTTCTTTGATTTATAACATTTAGCTTGACTATATCAAAGAATAGTCAAGGCAAACCCATACATGAGGAGGGCAAGATCAGAGAAAGGTGAAAAGAATATTTTCAGACTCTTCTGAATGTAACAGGAAATGAGGAAACAGTACCATTCACACCCAGATGTACAAACGAGGAACAGCCTACAATAATCGAACAAGAAGTCAGAGAAGCAATCAGATGCAGTCCCAAAAATAAGGCATCAGGTGTTGATGGAATATCAGCCGAGGCAATACAGGCTTGTGGAGAAATTGGAGTCACCTGGCTACTCCACATATTTAGGAAAGCCTGGAATGAAAGAACTGTACCAATAAGACTGGCAAAGAGCTCTTATAGTCCCAATTTGGAAAAAAAAAGGCAAAAAGCAAGATTGTAACAATTACAGAGCATCTCCCTTCTAAGCCACGTAGGAAAAATGTGTTGCCAAAATTCTGGAACAACGAATTAGATCCGTTGTAGAACCGATCCTGAGCCCATCACAGGTCGGATTTAGGAAAGGAAGAGGGTGTAACTGACTGATGCTATTTTTTGCTTTAGACAAGTTAGCGAAAAGACAATAGAACACAGACATCAAATGAACATCGCTTTCATAGATCAAGAAAAAGCTTTCAATAGAGTAAACAGAGATTTATTATGGGAAAGTTCTTGAAAAACTACGGTATAAATGGAACAATTTTAGATTGTGTTAGGGCTATTTATAGACAAAGTGAAAGCGCCATTAGAACAAGAGCTGGCATCACAGACTGGTTTCCCAGTAACATCAGGAGTAAGACAAGGTTGTGTATTATCACCTTTACTTTTCATAATATTTTATGGACAATATTAATAAAATAGACATAACACCAACAGATGTCGATAAACAGGAGGACTTCAATGAGCTGCTCTTTGCCGACGATCAATGCATATTTCACAGTGATAGTAAACAGCTGCAAGACCACATGAACCTACTACACGACAGTTGCCTCATAGCATCATATGAAGATCAATATTGAAAAGACAGAAGTCATGAGCATAAGTAGAAAGCAACAGACCATCGACATAAAGATTCTAGATCACAGCCTAAAACAAGTGCAAGAATTTAAATACCTGGGAAGTATCTTTACATCCAATGGTAAAATAGACAGAGAGATTGAGCAAGAATCCAACAAGCCAACAATGTCGCATACCAGCTTGCCCCAATTTTAAAACACCCTGCTGTCCCAGCTGAGATAAAAAAAGACAAATTATAAATACAATCTTTATACCGACATTAGGTTATCAATGTCAGACTTGGACATTAACAAAAGAACATGAGAGAAGACTAACCACCTGTGAAATGAGATGTTTTGAGAATGGCTGCGAATAAAACCAGAAGAGATCGAGTGAGAAACGATGTGATTACAAGAACTATTGGAACCATACCCATCGTTAAATTTATTGAGAAGCAAAGAATGAAATGGTTTGGTCACCTAATGAGAATGGAACCAACGATGCCAGCATCAAGAGCATACAACATGAAAATCGAAACAACAAGAGGCAGGGGAAGACCAAGAAGAAGATGGATTGAAGGAGTCACGGACAACTTGAGACTTCATAACATCACGGCATATGAAGCGACTGAGCGCGCCCTGGCTCGGTTGCCGATCATCTGATAGACTGCGACGCCTAGCGGCACAAGCAGATTTTGACAAAAGAAGAAGATATCAAAGAAATCTGGCAACTTTTTTATCTTGTTTAGAGCAATGGTTTTATGATTTCTTATAATGATTACTTTCCATTTAGGACACTTTATTCAGAACCTGGTACTAAAAGAGTTTAAAAAAATAGTTATAAATTGAACATTCTAGGAATGTGGTTTCTGGCGCTACATTCTGAGTGGGAAATTAAATTTCTTACCCACTGCCCTTTGGCAATTAAGAGTTTGCTGAAATCAAATGTGGTGTGCCAAATGTTGCAGATATTACAGCCTTGCTGTAAACCACAAAAAACCTTTAAACTGATAATATGGAAGAAGAAGAACATCAGAACAGATGTTTAATCACAACAATTATGTTACCTCTGTTAAATTGACTCACCAATCTTAATCAGTGCATATTGAATAGCAAAACCTCTGGCAGTGTGATGTCCGTCTGAGTGGAATTTTATTATCAGTTTACTGCTTGTGCTTTTAAAAACATTTTTGTCCTTGCCACACCAGATCCCTATACGATGTCCCAGTTGTAATGATGTGCCTAGAAACAGAAATAAATCCACACAAAAGCAACATCTTTTTTTTTTTTCATAAATAAAGACTAATATCATGTATAGTTGTATTGTGGCATCATGGCATGAAAGAATATGAATGCAGAGGGATGGAGAGGTTGGGGAAAGGGTGCTCCAGATGCATCAGCCCCCAGGTTATAGCACCTCTGGTTAGAAGTGGTGGTGACATTGGGGGTGGTGGTGTTTTATCAATGATACTAAAAGTCGCTACCTGGATGCAGTTTTAACAGAAAAAATCTGAGATAACCGGTTCGACCTTAAAAAATTATAATATAGTACATGTAATGGCTAAGCCAAGTATTGCCTTGGTGTACCCTGCAGTCCTTGGTGGGTAAGGAATGATTCCCATTCATGAGATCTCTCAGCAATGGTTCATTCCAAAGATCTCTCAGCAATGGTTTATTCCAAAGATATCTCAGCAATGGTTCATTCCAAATATCTCTCAGCAATGGTTCATTCCAAAGATCTCTCAGCAATGGTTTATTTATAAGGTCTCAGCAATGGTTTATTCATAAAATCTCTCAGCAATGGTTTATTCATAAAATCTTTCAACAATGGTTTATTAATAAGATCTCTTAGCAATCGTTTTTTCATAAGATCTTTCCACAATGCTTTATTTATGAGATCTTTCAGCAACAGTTTATTCATAAGTCTCTCTGCAATGGTTTATTCAGAAGATCTCTCAGCAATGGTTTATTCATAAGTCTCTCTGCGATGGTTTATTCCAAAGATCTCTCAGCAATGGTTTATTCCAAAGATCTCTCAGCAATGTTTCATTCCAAAGATCTCCCAGCAATGGTTCATTCCAAAGATCACTCAGTAATGGTTCATTCCAAAGATCTCTCAGCAAAGATTCATTCCAAAGATCTCTCAGCAATGGTTTATTCCAAAGATCTCTCAGCAATGGTTCATTTCAAAGATTTCTCAGCAATGGTTCATTCTGAAGATCTCTCAGCAATGGTTTATTCATAAGTCTCTCAGCAATGGTTTATTCATAAGATCTCTCAGCAATGGTTTATTTTTAAGATCTCTCAGCAATGGTTTATTTTTTAGATCTCTCAGCAATGGTTTATTTTTAAGATCTCTCAGCAATGGTTTATTTTTAAGATCTCTCAGCAATGGTTTATTTTTAAGATCTCTCAGCAATGGTTTATTTTTAAGATCTCTCAGCAATGGTTTATTCCAAAGATCTCTTCCGCAATGGTTTATTCATAAGATCTCTCAGCAATGGTTTATTCCAAAGATCTCTCAGCAATGGTTTATTATTAAGATCTCTCAGCAATGGTTTTTTTATAAGGTCTTGCTTGCAGCAATGGTTCATTTACAAGGTCTCTCAGCAATGATAAACAGACAATAACAATAATTAATATTTTCAAATACTATCCATGAAAATTGGGAACTTGCAGAAATGTTCCCAGTCAAACCAATTATCTACTGATTCCAAGAAATGTGCAGGCAGTTTAGTAGGAAATATAACAGCCAGAAATAAAACACAAAGCTGTTGTTGTTGCTGTTGTTGTTACTGTTGTTATTATTTATTTATTTTATTTACCTTCATAAATCTCCAGATAATCCGTGTCACAAGCATTAAGTGTAGTGACCTCAAGATCAATTTCTAGATCCAGATCTATGGTGACCACCTGAATGCCAAAGCTAGCAGTCTTGTTGTTTGCTGCTTGAAATTCCCACATGCAGTCCATATTGCTGATGTAACAGTATATATAGACAACAATGAAATATGTATTTGCAAAGTAGTTGTTGATCATACCATGAAACTGAAAGCACTTAATGTAGAGTTACAGCCTCAGTACTATGACAGCTTTGGCTAATACTGCTGCTACTTTTATGCTATTGCTATTGCCATTGCTGTTACAATTACTAGTACAAAAACAAAATTAAATTAAAAAAAAGACACCATAAACACCTCCATTATTTTATCTAGCACCATACTACCATTGCTGAACTACTAAAACTAACATTACTACAACCAACATTATTACATTATTTACCTTGACTTCCAGGGAGACCCAGGCTGACGTGGGTAACTAGGAATGTTGTGAAAAGTAAGAGATGTTGATCACATCAGCCATCAAGTGCAGCTTGGTCTATACAAAATAAGTCTAGAATCATATTTCCTATGAGCCGCTAGCCCAAGTCAGTCCTTTGCTTACTTGTTAATGCATCACCTAACAAAGAAATCACAGAAGAAAAGCAGTGGCCTGTAATTAATCATTCACAAAATGTCACCAAGTGAAAGGTGAAAAACTCACTTGTTGTAATGTCGAGGGTACCCAGGTGAGAATAGTGTTTGCTCTGTGTATTCCACATCCAGTTTTGTGGCAGACCCATTGCATGCTGAGGCTGCACAATAAAAGAACAAGTTGATAAGGGTAGCTTATTTAAAATACTTTTTTAACACGCGTGAAGAATATTATAGGCATCTTTGTCAATTTAGATTAAAAAGAGTTACTGAAACTTTATAGAGTGAGGGCTTTTTTATGTAGTCCTCCGTTCTGCTCTCTATCATGTGCAGTCATTTCAATATCATGGATGGAATCTTGTCTTGCACCTATGGTCTCTCTCAGCAATGCTCAGTCGGAATTAGAATATGACAAAGAAATGCTTGCAGCCTACGGAAACTGAGGTATGTTGTTACAAGGAGAAAGCTGGCGATGACAAGAGGCAGGGGAGACCAAATGAGAAGTTTGACAGTTTGGTGTCATAGTATCTGGGAGCATCTTTATTAGAAATGATTGCAGTACACGGGACAGAAGGGTGTTTACCACCAAGACAGTTGGAGAGAATTGGTTCATAAACTGCATTATTTCTGGGACACTGAGAGGCAAAATAACTGGACCAAATTAAATATCACCTGTCACTTCAACACTGTGTAAGCAAGGTAATGGGTGACCCAAGTTAGGTATGGACAGAAGGACTACCTGAAGTTGTGAATGCCAGCATCACTCAGCACACACCAGATGTCTCTTAAAAATGCAGACGCTTAGAGGCAGAACAGAGATTAGAGAAGAGAAGTACCGCAACACATGGTTCATTGAAGAAGAGTCATGGGTCAGTCTATACAAAGGTAGACACAAGAAAAACACACTGTCTGGAAAGTGTCTGCATCGCGATGATGATGATTATGATGGTGATGATGATTATGATAATGATAATGATAACGAAGTTTCCATTCCACGTGTTTATCTTAAATGTAAACTTATTGTCTTCTTATTGTCTTTGCAGCATTCACTTCCAGGGAATTCATAAATCTAGGTTTTGTCATATTTTCATTCACACCGGAGCCTATTAGAACTACTTATGGCCAGAACTACTTATGAACAGAATTTCTCTTCCGGCCAGAGAAATGTGGGGGGGGGGGGGGGGAGAGAGAATTTCGGTAATCTGTAGATCTTTAAATGTTGTTAGGAATCCCTAATGTGGAAGGGCAAGTTGTTTATGTTTAATTTAATGAAGCCAGTGTTTCTCAAAGTGGGCGATGCGGCCTCTAGAGGGGAAGGAGCTGCTGAAATGACCCGGGCAGGGGTAGTAGATACAGACCTGGGCAGGGGTAGTAGATACAGACCTGGGCAGGGGTAGTAGATACAGACCTGGGCAGGGGTAGTAGATACAGACCTGGGCAGGGGTAGTAGATACAGACCTGGGCAGGGGTAGTAGATACAGACCTGGGCAGGGGTAGTAGATACAGACCTGGGCAGGGGTAGTAGATACAGACCTGGGCAGGGGTAGTAGATACAGACCTGGGCAGGGGCAGTAGATTCAGACCTGGGCAGGGGTAGTAGATAGAGACCTGGGCAGGGGTAGTAGATAGAGACCTGGGCAGGGGTAGTAGATACAGACCTGGGCAGGGGTAGTAGATACAGACCTGGGCAGGGGTAGTAGATAGAGACCTGGGCAGGGGTAGTAGATACAGACCTGGGCAGGGGTAGTAGATAGAGACCTGGGCAGGGGGTAGTAGATACAGACCTGGGCAGGGGTAGTAGATACAGACCTGGGCAGGGGTAGTAGATAGAGACCTGGGCTGGGGTAGTAGATACAGACCTGGGCAGGGGTAGTAGATACAGACCTGGGCAGGGGTAGTAGATACAGACCTGGGCAGGGGTAGTAGATACAGACCTGGGCAGGGGTAGTAGATACAGACCTGGGCAGGGGTAGTAGATACAGTCCTGGGCAGGGGTAGTAGATACAGACCTGGGCTGGGGTAGTAGATAGAGACCTGGGCTGGGGTAGTAGATACAGACCTGGGCAGGGGTAGTAGATAGAGACCTGGGCAGGGGTAGTAGATACAGACCTGGGCTGGGGTAGTAGATACAGACCTGGGCTGGGGTAGTAGATAGAGACCGGGGCTGGGGTAGTAGATACAGACCTGGGCTGGGGTAGTAGATAGAGACCTGGGCTGGGGTAGTAGATACAGACCTGGGCAGGGGTAGTAGATACAGACCTGGGCAGGGGTAGTAGATACAGACCTGGGCAGGGGTAGTAGATACAGACCTGGGCAGGGGTAGTAGATACAGACCTGGGCAGGGGTAGTAGATAGAGGTGCATTTGGAAGCGATGAATATAAAATAAAGGAGCAGTGGAATCATGACAACTCTTATGGTTCATTCTTTTCATTAGCATTTTTTCATTTTATTCTATATTCTTCTTCTGCTTCTTCTTAGCATTTACCAGCTGTAAACTCCGGCAGAGTAAGTGAATTTTACCCTACCAGGACATCACACAGAGCGATAAACACCTGGTGACACAAAGTGCCAACATGCGGCTGAGGATCACCCATGGAGAGGTCACGGAAACCTCGTTCAGCTGTCAGGCCATATTACGGTGCCCTGCAAAAGCCTGTTGCGTCCCAGATGGGACATGACCTTGGTCACATTTAACTCTGGCAGAAAGTTCTGCTTGTTCGTATACCTCTGGACGTTTGTTCTGTTCTGTGCCTTGAATTTTGTGTGCACATGCGTTTTACATATTTCTTACTTATTTGTATTCAAACTGTTGGTTTCTCGATCGCATGCAGATTCTATCCGACTTCGATCATAGGAGCCATCCATGATTTATCGTCTTGTATGATATGCTTGGGGGATAGAGTCAGTGGGTCTATTCTTTTTCTCCCCACAAGCGATTTTTTTTTTTTTTTACTGATATTTGAATATTAACGTTCGTTGGGGTAATTTGATGCCTGTAATAAGAATGTCACAATGGTTTACAAAAAATTGGATTATTTCAAGATTCGTTGATTTTTAGCATCGACATCATTCTTTACTGTTTTGAAAGACACAGATTTTAACAACAAAAACGGAACTGCGCTATTTATTTTATTACATAGGGGGCGTTATGTCCAATACATTTGAGAACCTCTGCTTTACATTCACAACGTAATTTTGCTGCCATTTCATTCTGTATACAAGAAGAATGGTGTTATAAAACTTTACTGCTTTTATTGTTGAACTTTGCTTGGTGTTGGTAATGTACACTAATAGCTGTGTTTACTAGAGACCGCAGCTCTGTGGCTTAGTGAGGTTAATGAATGCGAATAACAATGTTCTTATCCTTGAGCACAAGGGTTCGTTTCCTTTGGAGCAGGGAAAAGGGGGGGGGGGGTATTTCTGGTATAGCATTGTGGAAGTCACATTGTGAACAAGATTTGCAACTCAGTGTGTAATATTCCTAAAGACGTAGCTGCGTCGCAAAATTAGTTTAGATAAACTGTTAACTATTTTTAAAAAAAGTTAGTTGCGTATCGGCGTATCCTTTACAGGGCGTTGCAGAACCAACCCCACAATTTTTTAGCTGTTGCGGTTTTTCAAAGCAAATTTCAGGTTCTGTAGTTTGCCATCGCCCCTGTACGGTCAGCTCTCGGTACCACTGTCGAAACCAACGCAAGACAAACCGTCCCGCAGCTAGGTTCGAACCCGGCACCCCAGCATTATGAAGCGCGTTCGCAAAACCTAAGCCACAAACGCCGACTATAGCTACCTATTTAAAAACAAACAAAAATATAGTACTGGGACCACGGAGGTAATATCCATAAGCCCGGTGCCGCTCTTAAACGAACTGACGGCTTCGTTGACGACTGTACCGTACCCTCACTGACATACATCTCATGAACAGGAAGGAAACACCTGGAATTTGGGTTTGGGATTAAGGGGTCACTTCACCAACATTTTTTTATTTACAGAGTTAGAGCAGTTATTTTATAATGGTCATGTGTAGGGATACATGTTATTACATTTGTATATTTCAAGTGTAAAATAAATCATGGTTGTCATGGCAATAGCCACCATCTTGTAAAAAATACAATATGTACTTTGAATCCTAAAATGTTTAAAAACAAACATACGTATTCAACAATAGATGATGGATTCATGACCTTTAATCCTATTTAGAGGTACATGTGCAGTTTATTTACTTTAAACATGTTTTTAAATATTTTTAGTAGAATTTGAAAATGTAGGTTTATTGAAAAAGTCAAAAAAAAAATCTAGCATCATAAAACAATAACCAAATTAATTTTAAAAACAACAACTTTCTAAAAATATATTTTTAAATAGACCAGTCCCTATAAGATTGCTTTAGAAGTATCCATACCAAATTGCATGTTTCTAGTCTGTATATTAGCTGAGATTTTAGGATTTCACACACACAACAAACAGAAATATAGAGATGTGAGAAAACTTACTTTAAACTTTTTTTTTTTAATCTTAAAAAAAAGTGCATGGATTGATGTCTTTAGTATTAACTTTTTAATGCTAAATTGTTTACAAATGACCTAAATTTGTGTGTAATCTATTCTACAAATGCCGAACTTTACAAAAACGAACACATTGAAAAAGTGATATTTTTGTCATAAATTAAAAAAAATGCCGTGTAGTGACCTCTTAAAGACCCTACATGGTGACGTACGCGTGCTACTGGTGTGCTGTAGACGTTAGATCATTGTTATGAAAAGAGAAGAAGGAAGTTAGATTTGTTTGCTGAGCGGCTCAATAGCCTACTTAGAATGGCAGATAAAAACATACCTAACCAAAACAGAACACCTTGAAGAAGAAAGCAGTCAACCCTCAGCTGTCACCACCAAGACCTGGAATAGGGGCGCAGTCTCTCGGTGAAACGACAGTTGCACGGAAACACGGGAAAACCGGGGCGGGGGGGGCTGTCATTAGTATAGAAAACATAGAACCCAAGAAAGTGTTGATACATATTAGAACCACAGGAACGAAGCCAACCGGGTAGTCAAAGATGCCAAGAAGGCACAAAGTTAAACATCTGGTCAAAAGCTGACACAAAATACCCCAAAGAGGTGTCAGATCCAAAAAAAGGCTATTAAAACAGATAAGAGATATGGT